AACAGACTTTCCAAAACCTATCCCACAACTGATGTAAGAGTAATGGATCTATAATTACTGGGACAGTTTTGATCACCTCCCTTGAAAGGAGGAGTTACATTAGCTAACTTCCAATCCTCTGGTACCTGCTCACTATTCAAGGACTGACAAAAAATAGTAGCAAGTGGCTCACATATCCAGTCTTTAATCTCCTTCAAAACCCTTGGGGAAATATTATCTGGCCCAGGAGCCTTCCCAATTTTTTCTTAACCAGCTCAGAATTAATGCAGTCATCTTGTTTGATCTTGTTGAACTTAACATGCATTTTCATTAAACAAGCTATTTATCCCTTACTGCTCATATTTCACAAAAAGCATGCCTTATTTAACAAGTACTGCAATAAGTAATAATTTTGTATGAGTTACAATATACATTTTCTGATATTGAAAAATGATAAATTGAGAAGATAGTTCAGTAATTGTGTGACAACTCTTGCTGTTGATGAGTTCAATTGATATTATTTTTCAGAGAGAAAGAAAATTGAGGATTATTATCTAGTCTTATAGTTTAAAGCTTGTAGCAGTAAAAAAAATGAGCTAAACTGTGTATACGATTGAAGTAGTTAAGTGAAGTTTATGAATTTAGACATATAAAAAATTAAAGTTTTTACTTTGAACTGTTTTATTACATTTTAATATTAAAAAGCTCACTATTATAGAATCTATACTTGAAAAATTATTGAAAGTTTTACAAAGTGTAGAAGAAAACTTTACTCCAATGTCTTAATATAAAATACTAGTGTTTTTATTATATAAACAGTTTGAGTAAAATTACAACTAATTACTAATTAGCTTAAACTACTAATATATTCACCAATGTAGTTTTAAAATTTTCTATACTAAATCTGAATGATCAGGAAATCTGTACATATACAAAATTCATTAGCTATTTTGACTTTGTAACTGATGTTATGTGTAGCTTTCATCACAACAGAGAAATATATTATGACACTTGTACCTAGACATAACTCCTCTAGCCATTTTTTCAAATTAAGTTTTATTTTTTTACAAAATCAAATCATCAAACATTTTTCCTAAATGCAAGAAAAAAATATGAAGTTTTTAAATCTATATATATTAAAAAGTACTTTACCTGCTTTTTAAGATTGGCCATTTATAACTTCATAGATAACATCATGCTAACTTAGACACCTTAGGGGATTTAGATTAGTCCTAAATCCATTTACTAAGGTAATCAAAAATAATCTTTGTAAATGAACAAATGTATTTAGGATATTTTCAAGATTATTTGAAGCATACCAATGATATAAATGAAACACTTTATAAGAAAATGTAGTAGATTACATAATTGTTATTATTATTACTAAAGGAAGAAGGTATACAACAGACAAGTGGTGGAGAGAGAAGCCGCAAGGCTTATCAGTGGCAAGGAGGGCCTGTCCACCAATGGACATCCAGTCAAGTGGGACAGTGGTTGTTGGCTCTTGGCATGGACCAGCATATTTGCAAGTTCACCGAAAATGATATAAATGGGCAGCTATTACTACAGATAGATAGTACCCGATTAAAAGTAAGCACATAAACTTAGAACGCAGGTTTTTAGAACATTTACTGTCAGTGAACATAGTCCTCAAACACAGGTGTGAAACTTGAACCAGCAAAAATTTAAGATTTTACTGTATTTAATTAGCAAGATATGAAAACCAGCTAAGAAAAACAAATTCATTAAAAGTGACGTGAGGTTTTTGAACTGATGTGCCTAATTAAAAGGCTATATTAATGTATATGTATTGAAAAAAGTGCTTAAGTTTTGTTGTAATGACACCTAACACTGTTTTTGAAATGGAGAGCTCAGTTTATTTACCATAAAAGATTTTTTTTAAACTACTCAATCTCCCTTTGTTTTTAATAGGAACTGGAGTATGATTTTTTGTCAAGAAAATAACTAACAAGACATTAAACCTGTTTAACTTCATATCAATAAACCTTACACCAAAATTTTTTACTAATCTTTTATGATTACTGACTTTTATTTCAGACTTCAGTTAGCTGTTAGCACAGTTTTAAGTTCTGTTGTTCAAAACTATTTCTGAAGTTGGTGCTAGAGGCAGTTCATATATATTCATTTTTTTATATATAAAGATGAGTTCTGTTTAGCACTCATTAGATTATATCTTAAGATAGTCTTCATGGGAAGTGGTTCACTAATAGCATCAAAAGAAAGGATAATGTATAATCAGAACATCAAACTTGAGTAAGTAGCATGCTTTGAATTGAATGAATTTGGGTTGTCTGTTTTGTAATATCTTGTGCTATGTTTCACACTTTTAGTATTTTTCCTGCAACTGGTATTTTATTCATTGTAATAATTTTATGTCTATATTTTAATCAACCAAGTCAGATTATGCTGCCAGAATAAGCAGTTCTATATTCATATTTCAGCTTGTGAAATGTTTTACTTTGTAATAATAAAGGAAGTTTATTTGTTTTGTTTGCTTCAGTCACTAGGAGTGAGTAATAGCTCTGACCGTTCTCTCATCAAGAAAAAGGTCAAAGAAATGAGAACTCTTTTGGAAAAAGAAAGAAAAGCTCAAGAGAAAGAACAACGTGCACGTGACCGACAACAAAAAAAAGCGGGGAAGATTTCCAAGAAGAAACAAAAAGATGAAAGCTCCTCCTAAAAATATTTTTTTTGTTTAGTTTGTATAATAGAGATTCAAGAAAATTATATAAGTGATGGTAGCTTATGAAAAACTCCAAATAATAAAACCCCAAAAAGTATGGTAATAAACTGACAGTTGCCATTACATTTATGTCAACCAGCTACTTTTATGCAAATATAAAAAGATAAATCAAGAAAAAAGTATCAGGTGATGTTTAATGGCTGAAATATTCCCTGTTTATCTTCGTTTCTTGGTTCTGTGTTTTAATATTAGTAAAATCTTATTTCTGTTGTGGATTAATAGAACAGAACAGTACCAATGTGATATATAGTTATAGAAGTGTGCATTGAAGATGAAAACACTGCATTATTTACAGGTAAAAATACCTACATCAGATGCTATCAGAATTTTTTACTTTTATTATTTTCGTTCTTTTAACTTATGATGATCATGGATAAGCCAGTTTGGCCTCTTAGTTATGCGTTAATTGAGTCAAAACTTTTAGATTTTTATTCAGTGCATGTTACAAGTTTGGAAAATTATAAAGTTGTTTTGGTGATAAATTTTGTAGCGGAGTCAAGAAAGAAGTAATGGAATAGTAAATTATGTGTTGTTGTTAATAACAAAGTATTGGGCACTGTCATGAAAGCTGCTAGTAATCTTAGTTATAATGGAATAGTAAATTGTGTGTTGTTGTTAATAACAAAGTATCGGGCACTGTCATGAAAGCTGCTAGTAATCTTAGTTATAATGGAATAGTAAATTGTGTGTTGTTGTTAATAACAAAGTATTGGGCACTGTCATGAAAGCTGCTAGTAATCTTAGTTATAATGGAATAGTAAATTGTGTGTTGTTAATAACAAAGTATCGGGCACTGTCATGAAAGCTGCTAGTAATCTTAGTTATAATGGAATAGTAAATTGTGTGTTGTTAATAACAAAGTATCGGGCACTGTCATGAAAGCTGCTAGTAATCTTAGTTATTTACAAATTTACTTGTTTGTTGTAACTTGTATGTGCCATACAGATGTGGTGAATTTCCCTTACACTAAATTTTTCATTGTAAAGTACACTGATCAGTATTTTAAGTTATCAGTAAGTATTTATCTGTACTGATGCTTTTACACCCACTTAATTTACTTGTTTTATTCATATTCAAGTTGTAAATATTGATGATCATGAATTTTATTATTTTTCTGTATTTTATATTGCAAAGTTGAATGTTCAGCATAAAATGTATTCAACTACAGAACTATGAAAATTACGTCAAAATAATTTATGCAACTTATTTTACATTTTGAAAGTGTAGAATGTTTTAGCAAAAGTCATCTTTCATGGGGGAAAAATGAACATGGTGAACAAAGATGTAAATTATGAAAAGAAAACTTATTTAAAAAAGAAACAAGTTAGTATATTTACAACATAAACTTTTCTCATATTAAGTTGATTTCATAAAAATTCGTTTATTATTTAAAGAAAAAACTTGAAATACCAAAATTTGGAAATTACCTACAATTGGCATATACTAAATTCTTATTTAAAGAAAAAAATTTTTTAATTGATAACGTGGCAGCTTGTCGAAATAGAGAACCAAAACACTGATGATGGAGCAAAACATGGATTTTGTTTTCCTGATTATTGTCGTGCATATGTATTGACTGTGAATTTTTTTTTTCAGGAAGTGCTTATTTTTTTATATATATATATATATATATATATATATATATAAACAGACTACATAATTACTACTTGGTTGTAGGTGTCGTAGTTACTTTTACTTTTAAATTAGACGTAAGTAAAACGTTTGGTTTAGGTT